ACCGATGAAAAAAAAAAAAAACAGAAAAAAAGGAATATAATCAACTGTAATTAGAATTGTTAAATGAAATGAATTATTTGTAACATCAGCTTAACTTGATTAAAATTTGAGTTCGACTAATTAAAACTCAAAATTATGAGTTTTTAATTAAGTAATTTTTTTTTATTATTTATCTTAGCTCGGCTAGATTTGATTCGATTTGGCTCGAGTACAAGAAGTTCGAGTTCGACTCTGCTCGAGTAACCTATGGGTGCAACACTCATGATTTGTATTAAATATCATTTGTACAGCAACGTATACTAAATTATACAGTTGCTAACCTTGAGTGAATCAATTTAATAAATGAAATTAACCAAAATAAAAAAATGTAAATAAGTAAAGGTATAGGAAATGTACTATTACAAATTGCTTGCCAATAATTTGAGCACTTTCGGTCACACATCTTATTTTCTCAAATTTAAGATGTAACATTTTGTTTGAATCCCACATAAAATGTTATATAAGGTTCTTATGAGATGACCATATTAATGTGAGAAATAAGAAAAGATCCTGGTCATTCATTATTGTCAAATGGATGGTTGAGATAAGAAACTCCTATCATTAGGATAAGTAGGAAACTGCCGCAAAGGGTGATTAAGTCAGTACAATTTTTTGTCAGTTAATGAAGTGCTTAGTGGACTAATTAAATAAATTAAAAAAATAAATAAATAATGTTATCTTCTTTCAAGCAAGCGTTGAACACGGTCTGAGACTCTCCCGCTCCTTCGACCTCAATTCCTGCACTTGACGTTGGATCTCCTCATTTCAAGGGATAAGCGAGAAGCCGACCCCGTAGCAAGCTATATCGAATGGATAGGGCCCACATAACGCATAGCCCTAGGCGATATGAAATCACCAAGTAAGTCCTTTCTCTTTCTTTTTATTTATTTATTTATTTTTTTGTATGTGATTTAGGTATAAAAAATTTCATACTTATGTTCTCATATAAAATATTGACAATTCAATTGATTAAAACTATTGAAAAAATATCTTCTCTAGTTTCAGTTTCCTGGCATTTTTGTTTATGTTTTCTGACTACAATTTTGTTTTATTACATACCTGTTCTACATGATTTTGAATGTTATTTTTTAGTGGACATTTCATATTTGTTGGTTTCGTACCTAGGATATTTATATATATAGTTCTTTCATGTGTTATTTTATGGTGTTTCTTTTGCTCAGTTTTCATTATTTTTATTATTGCTATAGTGTTATTTAATANTTTATTGGCTATTTTTTAGGAATAACCGAAATTAATCGAGATGTTCGAGTTGATATATCACCTGGGTCAACTCAATATTACACCCCTTTATGCGATCATGATTTGAAGCCCTTTGTTGGACAAGAATTTAAGACGTTAGATGATGGTCTTCAATTTTATAAGAAATATGCAGTTGAATGTGGATTTGACATTCGACGTTCAACATTGTCAAAGTCAAATGATGGTGTTTGCATTAGGACATATGTTGTGTGTAGTAGAGAGGATGTGAAGAATTATTCATTAACTGAAGATGCGGATGACTTGGGCAGTGCCAAAGGAAAAAAGGCGTAGAGTGTCTAAACGTGTCAGTTGCAAAGCTCGGGTGATTTTTAAGTTTGTTAGCTCTGATAAATATATTGTTGATAAGTTTATAGAGTAACATACTCATTCTTTATGTTCTGAAATGTACAAGCAGTTTCTTAATGTCAGTAGGAATATGGACATAGGACATCAAAAGTTTTTGCTTAATTGTTCCCGAGCGAATATAGGGCCAACAAAGTGCTATAGATTGTTTAAAGAGACTATCAGGGGATACTCAAATGTGGGTTGCACCATTGTTGACTTCAAAAACTTTTCGAGGGATTTAAAGGCATTCGTTGTTGGTGTTGATGCTCAAATGGTGATAGAGAAATTGTACCGTAAAAAAGAATTGTGCTCGGCTTTCTTTATTGATTATGTTGTGGACGGGAATGATCAGTTGACGCGTTTGTTTTGGGCTGATCCTATTTCGAGGAAAAACTATGCTTCTTTCGGTGATGTTGTATCTTTTGACGCAACATACTCTACAAACAGGCAATTATTTATATCTTATAAATAACATAATGCTTATCATCATATATAATCACAACAACTTTTTTTATTTTCACTTTAATTATGTTGCTAACTTTTGACAAACATTTTATTTGCGCAGGTATAACATGATATTTGCTCCATTCACTGGCAAAGATAACCACGGTAAATGTGTTACATATGCTGCTGCCTTGCTATCAGGGGAGGATGTTGAGTCATATATTTGGGTGTTTGAAAAATTTAAAGAAGCAATGAGCCGTAGTCCTAGCATGATAGTCACAGATCAGGACCCTGCAATTAAGATTTTTGTTGAACGTGCACTTCCAAATACTAGACATCGCCTTTGCATATGGCATATTATGCTTAAAGTACCTGATAAGGTCCCAAGTCATTTGAAAAAAGATGATGGCTTTAGGAAAAAGTTGAATAATATAGTTTGGTCGGAATCTATTGGGCCATCAGAGTTTGAAGCTCAATAGAATGATCCTATTGATGAGTATGACTTGAGAGAAAATACATGGTTTACGTCTTTGTTTGCAATTCGCCAGTTTTGGATTCCTGCTTTTTTTAGGGACTTCATGATGAGTGGCTTATTCAAGACGACATCTATGTCTGAGAGTGAGAATAGTTTTTTTGGAAGATACACTAGTCCCCGTTCTAATCTTCTTGAATTTTTCATGCATTTTGAGAGTGCATTAGATGTGCAGAGGCATGCACAGGAAAAGATGAACAATGTTGATGAAATGTGTGTTCCCGAGCTTAGGACGCCCTTGTTATTTGAGAGGCATGCTTCTAATGTGTATACTTTGAAGATTTTTGAGGAGATACAGAATGATATTGTAGCTGCATGCTTTGAATGCCGAATATTGACTCTTGTAGATGATCCTGATCATCGTTTCTATGAAATCGAAGATGTCACTTATGGTGCATGTGAAGTTGTTTATGACAAATCACAAAACACAGCAACTTGTAGTTGCAAGAAATTTGTGAGGGTTGGATTACTATGCTGCCATGTTTTCTATGTGTTTAAAGATTTGAATCTCCAGTCAATCCCAGAAAAATATTTGGTTCCTAGGTGGACAAAATATGCATCATTGAAGCCTATATTTGAGGTTCATGGTCAGATTATTGATCAGTGTGCTATGATTGAAGAGCGGAAGTCAATTATGAATCAATTGTTCTCGGAGTTCTATTCTTGTATTGGGTTTGTTGAAGGAAATAATGATTTCATGACAAGTTTGCTACATTCTCTTAAGAATCAGAGACTTATCTTTACCTCTGGTGTGGACCAATCTTCAGCAACTTCGTCCAAGAAAAAGTTGTTTGAGGATTACTATGGAGGCTCTGTTCCACAAAAAGTACAGGTATTGCCACCGCTTCCTGTTAAAATGAAAGGGAGTGGTAGTCGATTGAAATCAAGGAAAGAAAAGACAATTGAAAAAAGCAATAAGCCTTTGAGAAGATGTAGTAAGTGTCGTCAGAAAACGAATCATGATGCAAGAAATTGTGTGAAATCATAGATTTTTTTCCTTCTGTCTTTTATGAGGAATACTATGTTGTATCATCTTGTATGTTTCTAATGACCCTTTTTTATTTCTCATTTTTTAGCATCTTAATATAACCATGGTTATCTACATTGTGGCTATAATTTATTTTACATAGTAAACTTTCGCTTTATTTTATGTACAATTATGGAATTTTTCAGACTTTTTAATGCATTTTTTAATATTTATTTTCTAAAATTTTGTTTATACTATTAAGGATTTTTTTCAGACTTTTATTGAGAATATTTAAAAATCAATTATCCATATTTTATAAATATGTGTGCAGCATTAATCTATTTCTAACTTTTGCTTTCAACATCTTCAGGACATATTAAAAAAAATAATTGTTCCTAGTTTACATCTTATACAACAGTAAAATTATATGTGAGAGCATGAAAACAAATGTGATATGATAAAGATAATAATTTCACATGGTCCATAGCATAATCACCTCTTTTATTAAAGTTTATAATTTCACACAAAAACACAACAAATATATTACATTATCACAACCATAACTAGCATCCATTGTTTAAAACCAACAACAGCAAACGACTATTCTTCATATTCTACACTGATTTCATTTATCCACGGCGGAACTATATCGACTGAACTATCCTCAAATGACAATTGGTAGTGCATGTCTGCAGCAGGATATGTTTGCTGGATCATTCCAAAAAATCATCATCTGTTTGCATGCTTACAACTTCATTCGCTTTAGGTGGTTCATATGAGGCTTGCAACGTGGGTTCTACAATATCAGCCCCTTCTTGTGGTTCATTCAATGTTTCCATCGTGTTCTTCCACTCCCCAAGGTTCTCACTAATTTTACCCATTTTGTGCAACTGGAAATGTTGTACAATCTTTTCTGTTGCCTCTTGTATAATTGGCATAAGTTCAACCATTGTTGCAGCAATGTCTGAATGTATAGTTGAATAACCACTTGGAGATGGATATGGATAACCAGCACCAAAACCACCAGCTTGGATTTCTTCTTTCTGCCTTTTCCTTAGCAATGAGTATACTAGCCATAAGATTTAGATCTTGATTTAAATAATAATTCTTTATTTTTATTATTTAATTCTTTATTTTTAATTATTTAAATATTATTTTGACTATTGACCGTTGACTCCGGCTATGACCGTTGACTTCCGGTGTTGACCCGTTGACCTTAGTATGCACCATGTATGAAAGAATAATTAAAGTCAACTAACCTTGCAACTAAAGACAACTACCTTGCAACTAAAGACAACTAACCTTGCAACTACAGACAACTAACCTTACAAACTGAATACAACTAAACATTGCAAATAAAAACAATTAACCCTGCAACAAGATAGAACTAACTTTGCAACTACAGACAACTAACCTTGCAACTAGAGAAAACTAACATTGCAACTAGATAGAACTAACCTTGCCACTAAAGACAACTAACCTTGCAACCAAAGACAACTAACCTTGAAAATAAAGACAACTAACATTGCAGCCAAATACAACTAACCTTACAACTAAAGACAACTAATCTTGCAACTACAGACAACTAACATGGCAAACTGAATACAACTAAACATTGCAAATAAAAACAACTAACCCTGCAGCAAGATAGAACTAACTTTGCAACTACAGATAACTAACCTTGCAACTAGAGAAAACTAATATTGCAACTAGACAGAACTAACCTTAAAACTAGACATAACTAACATTGCAACTAAAGACAACTAACCTTGCAAACTGAATACAACTAAACATTGCAAATAAAAACAACTAACCCTGCAACATTTTTACAATAACTTTGCAACATATTTACACTAACTTTGCCTCACCATATTTACTTCATACACAATACATATTATGGTCAACGGGTCAATGCCGGAAGTCAACGATTTTCGCCGGAGTCAACTGTCAACACCGGAGTCAACAGTCAACGCCAGAGTCAACTAATAATTATTTTTATTATTTAATTAATGTATATTTTAATTGATTAACATAAATCAGTGATTTAGACAAAATGAGTGGCTAAAATTGAGTTTATTGTAACCATATTAGACATTATGGAACACTTTGACAAGACTTTCCAAATCAAACGGATTTTCTATTTACATACCATTAACTTTATTCTAGTATATGTATACTAGTACAATGCCGTTGAATTATACGGGAGTTTGAGAAAAAAATTAATGGTGGAATAAAGAATGAAAATAAAATGAAATTCTTATTGCGAAATAAAAGTTATAAATAATTAATAATAAAGTAAAAGAATTTGAAATATTATTTTAAATTCTAGAAAATACTTTGTATGAAATATTATTTATTTTATTTAAGATATATATATTTTTTCTAATATTAAATAGAATAATTAACTTATTCTGCAGTTAATATAACGCCCGTGAATAACAAGGGTGCATTAAAATAAAAATAAATTACTTGTAGCAAAATTTAAACGAAATAAGTAAAGAAATTTATATTATAATGATAAAAAATTAAGTATAAAACTAATAATTAAAACCTTAACAAAGTTAATTATTTAAAATAATAACTATATTTTACACTTCGTTTTTTAAAATAATATTTTTTAATATCACACACACACACACACACACATACACATATATATATATATTATTTATAACTCAATAATTTTATTTTGAATTAATTTAAATTTTTTCCAATTCGATCAGTATTTTACATACACAATTTACTTCTCTATTTCTTATATTTTTACATATATTATATTTATTATTATTTTTAACTTTATAATATTGAATAATTTAAAATATAATTTTTATGGGTGCTATGTTTCATTTTTATTATTTTTAATTATAACTAATATTTTTAAAACTTTCAATATCATTATAATGTTCAATCTCTTTGTAGTCTTATTTAAATTAGGAAATAAATTTTAATATATTTTTTTATATTTATTTTATGTTCATACTAAGTTTATATATTGTTTTCAACTAATATAAATGTTTCATGATATTTTATTATAAATCATTTTTTATCGCTTCATAAGATAATTTGTAGTTTCTTTTATACATTTTTTATTTAGTTTGATAAATCAATTTAAAATTTATTTATATGGATATATATCACTGTATTTCATTTTTGTGTATGTAATATGGATGTCAAATCGAATATCGTTAACAGACAATTAATTTGATATATCATATATAAAAAAAATAAAATACAAACAAAAAAATTACAAATTAAAAATTAAGAAGACACATTTATAATAATTGATGTATGAATTAAATAAGAAAATGATATGTAATATATGGTAATGTATGAAAATGAAAGGTAAAATAGTTTATAATAACTAATTGTATAAGAAATAAAAAATAGATCAATCACAAATTTAATGTGAATAATATAAATATTTAATGCAATCCAAGCCTAATTATTATTTTACAAAAAATACTAATTTATATCCAAATCTAGCTACGAAAGATGGCTTTTTTCCACGTAGGCTCAATGCATTCTACAGCGTGCAGTGCCATTTGTGGCATGGGCCATGCCCATGAGAAATGATGTTTAATCCAGACAAGCCCATTCGGATATGGGCCTTTCCTGCCAACGATGTTAGGTAGACTATCACGCCCAGGTCCATGAGGCCTTAATTTTCGAGATTGGTAATAGAAACCGGGAATTCACATGCATCGTCAAGCCGATTTGGGCTTATGATGCTGTGGGCTGGATCTAGCCCGTTTCCACGTGTGATAATGTAATTGTTAAACCTCGGCTTGAGTCCACTGATTATAATTAGGTGTATTCTATTAAGATTCTTAAATACTTTAGAACTTTTTTAATTTTGTAGTTTTGGTGGACTTTGTAAAACTTTCATGACTTTGGTAGATTTTTTGAGACTTTCAGAGAATTCTCATTAGTGACTTTTAAGAATTTCATAATGGATTTTTTAAAACTTATTGAGACTTTTATATCTTATAGTTATAATTATTTTGTTTTGAATAAAATATTAATAAACGTAGCATAATAACTAATATCAAGAAGAATAAATGAAAAGAAAAAAGAAGTTTTATATATTAATCCCTTAAAATTTTATGAATCAACTAATTGTTATGCGAAATGGGATTTACAAACAAATTGTTTAGGATTTTAGATTTATTAAACGAGCAAATCGACCCGAACTCAACACCGGCCTCCACTATGCTATGTTCCACTTGGGAGAGGTTTTTTTTTTATTTATTTATTCTAGAGATAGAAATTAGGTACTTTTCTCAAATATTACAAGCCACAATTTTTCCGAAAGTAGCGTTTTGGGGAAAATTTAGAAATTTGATTGTTAATATTGTTATAGGTTTTAATCTTTTATATGTAATTTTTTTTTTTTTTTTTTTTTTCCAAACGATAGATTTATAACTAAAACACATACTTACAACCGACTCATTAGCCGGAAAAGGGAGGCCTACCAACATCCAAAGGTAGCCTAAATACCACGACACAACACAACAAAAAACACACAAAAACTCTCCAACGAGAGAATACAAACTCTCCAACGGAAGAATCTAACACTCCCTAACGGGAGAATCAACACTCCTAAAACTAAAATCGGGGAAGAAAAGCGCAAACGCACTCTTACAACACAATACGAACACAAACACAACAAAATAAATAAATTATGGCCCTTCCCACAGCAGCTAAACCAAACAGAACACCAACCAATGACGACGATACCTACGGGCGGTCACCCATACGGACAGAGACCTAGTCCAAGTCTCAAAGCCAGAAACTGCAGATAAATCGCCTAACCAGGTTCAAGACTAAAGGACCGTGACCCTCGCCCAGGTAGACAACCCATATACCCGCGACCGGAGAAAACACTACAAACTCCACCTCCCAAATCCCGACGACCCGGGCCCAGGACACAAGATCCGACCCGACCCGACTCCTCCACTGCAACCCAACCAGCCCAATGGCGGAGAAGAACGGAAGAAGAGAGGAGAGTGGAACCGCCCAATCTCGGCACCGACCACCACCAAGGAGAGGATTGGAGCCACAACCGCCTCGCACAGCCTCATCGGAAGCCTGCCGCCGCCTAGACGACGAGGAATCGCCGGACCACATCTTACCTTGACAACCTAGAAGGAGGCGAAAACAAGGAAGAACCCGTCGCGTCGCTCGAAGAAGAGGCCGCCGCCACATCCGACGGTTCTCTGGAAGCTAGCCGTACAGCACGGTGAAGGCCGCCGTCATGGTGGCCCGAAGGCCCTGCTGAGGGAAGGCAGAAATTGCTCCGATTTAGGGTTTCTGTGGAATTGGGGAAAAGGTCGGCTGAAATTGCTCCGCGACTTTTTTAAGTGCCGACTCATATTGATTATTTCAACTCATTAGTCAGTTGCTATTTTGTATTTAGCAACTTTAGATGTAATAGGACAAGTATAATTAGGTAAGACCGACACAATGTAAATTTTCATTATCGCAATGATTCATTCGTACGCCTCCTCTTCCTCTTCCAACATAGTCTTCTTCACTATGCAATCGATCTGTAAGTCTGTATGATATTATCTGACAATTGTGTATTATAGATTCAGCCTGTTAGAACTTATAACTTGTAATCTTATTGTTCAATAATTAGTGACTTTACAAATTAGTCTGGATCTAAAAAGGTTTAATTTTTATAAAGTTCAATATGTGAGCTTTTTGAAATAGATAATTACAATATTTATTTTTACAGACTAAACACTTAATTAGTTACCATACACCTCTACATATAGTCAACTGCTATCTGTAGAATAAAATTTTTTACATGCAATGAAATAATAAAATAACGAAGGCAGAGAGACGCATAACTTGTTCCATGTTAAACCCTCCAACCATTAATGTACACTTCTCCATACTTTATTTTTGTGAAAATAAAATAAGCATATGTATTTGTGAAAAAAGTAATGCTAATTCAATATTTAGGCCGGCTTAACGCCACAAGACTGAGTAATATATGCTACAGGCTGTCGAACCACATCAGGCTAAAATCAATAGATAAATAATAAATGACCAGTTAATCCAATAATGTGAATCACGTAGTAATCCAAAAAGAACTTTAAAGTCGCATTTATTGTACACCAAACCAAACATGATACTCTGCCTTTCATCAGAAAGGGCATTTTGGTCCCTCAATTTATTTTATTCCCTGGATTTACCGTGCAGGTAACTTCAAGTTTTGACCGAGGCCACGAAATACACACAAGTGGGACAAGAAGGTAAAAAGAGGCGCACAAAAAGAACTNAACTTAAAAAAAAAAAAAGAAATAGAAAACCCGAAGCAGCGGGTCCGGATAATACCCATTACCCGACCCGAATACATCCAAACTCGCACAAAAAATGGGAGCACTTCACACTTCCCTAATCATATGACCGACAGCGGGGCCGGCAGATCCGACCCGCCGGCGGCCCGCTTCCTCCCTCCGGCCGACGCCGACTTGCAGTAGTTCCTGATGGCTGTGAGCTCGTACGGCGAGGTGTCGGTGGCCAGCCACTGCTCCACCTCGAACTGCTGCTGCGCGCACTCCTGGTGGACCCCGGTGGACGTCACCTCCACGTAGTTGACGTACCAGCCGTGGCCCGACCCGGTCCCGTCCGACGTTAGGTTCATCGCGCAGACCGGCCCGGTCAAGCACGGGCCCCGCCCGCTGAAGATGTCGAGGTTCCCCCGCTCGAAGTAGTTGTAGTCCGGGCCCATGAGCCCGCCCCACGTCTCCAGGTTGTTGATTCGGATCCCATACCCGTTGGCGTCGTACAGCGTCAGGCTGATTACGGAGTCGGTGCCGCCCTTGATTATCGACCCCGTCCGCACGTACGCCGTGTACACGCAGTCCGGGTCGTCCTGCAAAAATTCGATTCAATTTATTTTTTCGAAATTTCAGCACAAAATTTGTTTCCTCCGCCGCGATAATCTCACGGCGGCGGCGAGAGACACCGATCGGAGATTTTGATTTCAGAAACATTTCAGAAATAGAGACAGATCTCCGATTTGGATGTACGGAGGTCGTAGTTTTAGAGAGAGAAGAGAGAAGAATACTTACAGATCTGCAGATGGAGACGGCGGAGAGGAGGATGAGGAGGTGGAGGAAGGTGCGGTTGGCCGCTGCCATGGATGATTCTGTGGATTTTCAACCTTTTTTCTGTTTTCCTTTTTTTTTGTCCTCTCTTTGTTGTTGAGAAATGGCGATGGATAAATGAGCTGGATTTTGGTTTTTGTAAGCACAATTTATGCGTGTGTGACTGTGTGAGGAGGAGAAGATAAACACAAATTGGGGAAAATGATTGGAAGAGAGTTTCCAATTTTAAAACGATTAGATATAATTTGATTGGGGGCCCATTTTGCTGGAGATGTAGTGAATGTAGCACATGTGCCTTTTGACATTTTGTCACTTTGTGACTTGTGTGCGATTTATCTAGACAAAGAGAGAAAGAGGTTTTATTTCAATTTTTTCAATTCAATTTTATTTTATATTATTTGAAAATAAATAATAGTAATAAGAAGAATAATTTCACTTTGCCTAACAATTTGACCAAACTGATGATAAAAAAATGATGTGTATGTTTATTGATTGTTGATTTTAAGAGTAAATTGAAATGAAAAATAACAAGATCTTTACATGTGTTATTATGTCGAAGTTTATGTAACTTTTTATATTACTATATCATCATGACCTAGTAGTCCTATTTGATAATTAAGCATTTTGAGAATAAATTGTATTTGATCCATTGAGAATTAATTTCTAAATTAATTATTTGATACGTAACAATTTGTATTAACTTTTTTGAGTCATATTTAAAGAGAAAAAAATACTCAATATAAGATTTATTTATTTATTTATTTTTTGGTTTGTAAGATTAGTTATATTTTCATACCAAACATCTAATTATTCATCGCACTTTGTATCAGTAAGCCTTGTTGTATTACTCTGCAATTTTGTTAGGCAAGTCTAACAGTTAGACTGCCTAATAATTAGACCACCGAACATAAGAATTTATGCCTTTATATAATCTACTAATTTCGACTGATTAGTTGAACAAATGCAAATTTTAAATCTAATTTCGCATTTGATTGTTAGTTGATTGCACACTATAATTGTTGTAATTGTGACTATAATATAGAATACTGGAATAGGCTTGTAAATTGTAACACAAAACTATATAGTACATTTATCTATTTACAAAATTTGAACTAATTATTTAATTTTCAACTGGAAGTACAAGTCATTGTCGTTGAAAGGGCCCGAGCATTCTAGCATTACCATGTGGGGGTCTCGTGTTGTTTTTTTTGTTGTTGTTTTGTGTGTTTGTATTTAGTGTGTTGCCGAGTATTCTAGCATTGCTAGTTTTCAGATTTAGGCGGTCTTTGGACCTGTCCTCCCAGTTTTCTCAGTCGTCGGTTGTATTATTCAGCCAGGGGCTGTATCTTTGCNTTTAACACTTCTTTGTAATAGGAATAGTAGCACTTTATGTATTTTAGCATATAGTATAAATAGGATTGTCTCTAGGGTTTCCAAACACTTTTCACCTTTCACATTTTCTCTTTGTACGCAGACAATCTGTCTCTCTCTTTTCCCTCTTCAATAATATCCCTTTCTTTTGTTCTTGTTCTATCGATTATGATTCACAAATTGTAAATCTGATATGGTATCAGTTAAAGGTTTCTCGATCCGTACTTTGATTTGATTTTCCGCTGCTCGCTTCGATTTTTCTGTCTTCCGACATTTTTCGACATTTGATTTGATTCGATTTGTTCTCGATCGTTCTCAATCGGCCTTGATCTGTTCCTCACTATACAGATCTCTTCCGATTAGTTTCGATTTGTTCTTGAATAGCTGTTTTCCGATTGGATCTAAACTCCGTCATGGCAACTTCGACCGTCCGATTCACAGATGATCCATCTTCTCCATATTTCCTACATGCCAGTGACAATCCTGGTGCTGTGATCGTGGCTGAAGCCTTCAATGGCGAAAACTATGTCTCATGGTCGCGATCCGTTCTGATGGCACTCAGTGTCAAAAATAAGGTTGGCTTCATCGATGGTACGATTTCTGTTCCTTCAAATACTGCTGATCCTGCACTTTCCTTAGCTTGGATGCGTGCGAATAATTTGGTCTTATCATGGATTCTGAACTCTGTTTCAAAGGAAATTCGTCAGTCTCTTTTATTTTTTAATTCTGCTAAAGACGTTTGGGAAGAAATCAAGTCTAGATACTCTGTTAGTAGTGGTCCTCGTGTCTTTCATCTCGAAAAATCTCTGAGTACCATGGATCAAGGTTCTATGTCCATTACCCAATACTATAACTCTTTCAAAGGTCTCTGGGATGAATATGTTACTCACAGACCCGTTTTTCGTTGTACTTGCGGTGCTTTTACCTCCTGCACCTGTAACATTTTTGACTCTATGACTGTTGCTCAATCTAATGATTCTGTGATGAAATTTCTTATTGGTCTGAATGAGTCTTACTCTTCTTTGCGGAGTCATTTTCTGCTGGCCTCTCCTTTGCCATCTTTGTCCAAGGTTTATTCCTTACTTTTACAGGAAGAGAGTCAACGTGCTTTAAACAATACTTCAAAATCTTTGGACTCTCTTGCTATGATTGCTAAAACAAATTATAAACCTCAGAGATTTCAAAATTCTAAGGATTTCAAAGATAAGAAAAAGTTTAAGTGTGATCACTGTGGATATCCTCATCCCACAGATAGGTGTTATCAGGTCATTGGCTATCCACCTGATTGGGTAGGTCCTCGTGGTCCTAGAATTCACCCAAATAAGTCCCAAGCAAATGCTGTTTCTTCATCTGAAAACCTTTCTTCTGATTCTGTTCATACTCCCTCTATGACTGACTCCTTGTTACATGAGTTTCTTGAATTCAAAAGATCTGTTGAGCAGAAACAGGGCACTGGAGTTTCTCCTATGGTTGCCACTGCTCACACAAATCATAATGCATCCAATGCAGGTATATACTTGAACAATGTTTCATCTGCTAATAAATTTTCAAAAACCACATGGATATTAGACACTGGAGCAACTGACCATATGATTTGTGACATATCTTATTTTACTTCTGCTCCAACACCATTATCTATTAAAATTAATCTTCCTAATGGTGCACATACTGAGGCAAGTCATGTGGGACAGTTAAAACTGGGACCTAATCTTGTACTGCCTCATGTATTGTTTGTACCATCTTTCCATTTCAATCTGATTTCAGTTTCAAAATTATGTTCATCAAATAACTGTATTGTCAAATTTGTCTCTTCCTCCTGCATCTTACAGGATCTGAAAACACTCAAAATGATTGGTTTTGCTGACATGAAGGATGGTCTCTACCATCTTTCCTTATCTCATTTTAATAACAATGTTTCTACCAATCATATTGTAAATGCTTCAATTACTGATGAACATTGTACAGACTCTGTTACTGTTGATTCTACTGTACCTACTTGTATTGATGCCAATACAAATAAGCATACTGTTTCAGATAATTGTTTGATATGGCACAACAGGCTTGGACATCTATCTTTTCATAAATTGGCTCAACTACCTATTTCTTTGAGTAAATGTGGTTCTTACATTGATAAACCATGTGATGTTTGTCATTTTTCAAGGCAGAAAAGGTTACCATTCTCTGACAGTATCAGTCATGCATCTAATCCTTTTGATTTAATTCATTGTGATGTATGGGGCCCTTTTTCAATACCTTCTCATTCTGGTCACAAATACTTTTTAACCATTGTTGATGACAATAGCAGATGCACATGGATTTATCCTCTTACATACAAATCTGACACAAAATCATCCCTCATTCATTTTTCAAATATAGTTCAAACTCAGTTCAACACTAAGATCAAAATCATTAGAACTGATAATGGTACTGAATTCATTTTATCTGACTTCTACTCTGATCATGGCATTATTCATCAAGTCTCATGTGTTGAAACACCTCAACAAAATGCTAGGGTAGAAAGAAAGCATCAACATCTTTTACAAGTTGCTAGAGCATTGCTTTTTCATGCCAATTTACCTATCATGTTCTGGATTGATTGCATTATGGTGGCTGCTCATATCATAAATAGAATTCCTTCACCTGTTTTGCAAAACAAATCTCCTTATTCTATTCTTTATAAAAAGGAGCCTGATTTCAGTCACTTAAAAGTCATAGGCTGTTTATGCTACTCATCCACATTACTAGCTCACAGATCCAAATTTGCATCTAGGTCTTCTAAATGCATACTTCTAGGTTATCCATTAGGTTGTAAAGGTTATAAACTTTACAATCTGGAAACCAAGAAAATATTAATTTCCAGGCATGTGATATTTTATGAAACTATTTTTCCTTTTAAGCCTAATCCTGATTTACCCAATTCTACCTCAGATACTTCTTACACTGAACCCATGTTTCCATCTTCTTCCCCTATCATTTTTGACAACAACCCTGCCCAACATATTACCCAGCACCCCACCAATCATACCCCACATACAGTTATCCCTCCACAAACAATTATTGCTACTGATCCACAACATATTACCCCTAACCCTTCATCTCCCTTAATAAGAAAATCCACTAGACAAAGGTCTGTGCCTTCTTACTTAAACCAATATCACCATTCTTTACCTTCTTCTCACTCTGTTCATACAGATATTCATACCACATTGCCTGGTACACCTCATGACATTCATGATTTTCTTTCTACTGATCAGCTTTCAAACTCTCATAGCTGTTTTACAACTTCAATTTCTGAAATTACAGAACCCAAGACTTACAAACAGGCTTTTAAAAATCCTTTATGGCAAGAAGCCATGCAAAAAGAACTTTCAGCTTTAGAGAAAACAAATACTTGGGTTCTAACTTATTTACCCAAAAACAAACATTGCATTGGTTGTAAATGGGTTTATAAAGTAAAGTATAAGTCTGATGGTACAATTGAAAGATACAAGGCTAGATTAGTAGCAAAGGGCTATACTCAAGAGGAGGGTATAGACTACTTTGATACTTTCTCTCCTGTAGCTAAGATTACAACTGTTAGATTATTAATTGCACTTGCATCTATCAAAAGTTGGCATCTACAGCAATTAGATGTCAACAATGCTTTTTTACATGGTGACTTGGAAGAGGAAGTCTACATGACACCCCCACCAGGTTACTCTGTTGATGCCAATAAAGTTTGCAAACTTCAAAAGAGTTTATATGGTTTAAAACAAGCCTCAAGGCAATGGTTTCAGAAACTAACATCTTGTTTACTTGACTTTGGTTACTGTCAGTCCATTGCTGATTGCTCATTATTCACTAAATCTTGTGGTCATTCATTCACTGCATTGTTAATCTATGTTGATGATATAATCCTGACTGGCAATGACTTATCTGAAATTAATTCTGTGAAATCCCATTTGGACAAATGTTTTACAATCAAAGATTTGGGGCAACTCAA